ACAGTGCATCTTCGCCTTTTTATAATTTTAGTCTATAATATTATAGTTGTTTAAATTTAAAGAACTATTCGCCTTTTATTATAGTGTCTTTCGACATTTTTTTACAATTAAGAACAATTGAAGTTCGTAATTAAATATAAAATAACAAGTAAGTATTGGCCTTAAAGGTTTGGGTTATGATTCCAAATAAATATTGAATATGTGGAGCTGATAAGATATATTTGTATTGTACAGTTTATAAAAAAATTCTTTAAGCAAAAAATTATTTCATATAGCTTACTTAAACCATATTTTAACATAAAGAATAATAGTAGTTTTCCTCAAAAGGGGCTCGCTTTTAAAAGTTAAATAAGGTATCTACATACTATAATTATATATAAAGTATTACGTATTTCTGCTATACAATATCATCTAAAAGTAAATAGAGAACATACAAAGTACATACAGTACAGTTTGTGAAATGTAGGATGCAAATTTTCATTCAAAGGAGGCGTACGTACTGTACGTATATACAATAACAGATAAGTAAACAAATTTCTAATATCAGATATGAAATTGATTGGTGCAGACAACTACGCCAATAAACTGGCACACATTCAAAAATACTTTTTTTTACTCGAATTACGTAATCATTTGAGAAGTTATATTTTAAACTTTCAGTGTTTATCTCAGTATTTATTTCGGTGTTTAAAAGAAATGTGTAAAAAACGGCATCAAGCAAAAAAAGTATAATTGGTGTTTAAGTCTTTAAGAATCACAGATATATGGGTTATTGCATAGTAAATTCATGCTTAGAACATATAAAATATTATATTATAAGCGTGAATTTGCTATGCAACACCCATATATCTTATAATTCATAAAATAAACCCGAGTATAAGTCAAAGTTTGTTGTTATGTGGAATGTAAAATACTCGGTTTGCATCGTAATTTATGGTAGATAAAATATAATAGTTCTAATTATTCTACATATACCGTATATACTTTGTATTTTTTTAAATAGTAGGTTTCTTGGTATAAACCTTCGTTTCTTCATTCATGATATCTAATAAAATCTCTTGAGAATCTTTAATAAAAAGTGTATATATTTTTTTAATAGTAATTAGTTAATTATAATAAGATCCATTTAACTTTAAAAAATAATTACTATTAAAAGATGACAAATTAGTTATTGATAATATAAAATTTAAAAGGAAATCCGGTACCCGAATTTTAATATTATTTTCAAAAAAATTCATATGCTTCAAACAACTATCTAGATATATATACTAAAGACTTCGGGTTAAGAACCAAACCAATTTTGCATAAATTCAGTTTTTTGCCTAGATTATTGAGTGAATTTAATGCAGTTTTGATCAAAAATTTCAGTGGACGACTTGTATAGATCGTTTGCTCGTTCTGTTCACTAATTATTTGGATATGTGAAATCTCAGGAAATTTAAAAGACTTTGTAACTAATATCATTTAATAATGCATCTGCAGTTGGTCTTTTTGATGGATCTGCATTCCAACATTTTTCCATTAATTCAACAAATTGTGATGGCGTATTAGTTAAAATTTCTGGACGAAGACCTTTGATAATATCTAAAATAAGACATCAATCATGTTTACGATTAAAGAATAGTTTACAGCCACTTGTCATTTCCTAAATAATTATCCCCAAACTATATATATCTGAAGCTGTAGTAAATTTCCCTTCTTTAAATACTTCTGGCGCAACATATGGAATGACCCCATATATTTCATCATCCGGCGATTCACATGCCGGCATATTAATCCCAAAATCACAAATAGCCATTGTCACGTAGGATTACGGTATACGGAGTCTTCGTTCCCTTGGCTTTCTAATTCCACTCGCTTGGCTTTCCACACAGTCTGGAGTATCGTTCCAGATACTGCCACCAATAGACCACGACGTCGGCCACTCAGTTTCTATCTTAGAACGTCTTTTCTAAAGCAAAACTTAATTCATTTATTTATTATTAAGATCGTGCCATCTATATATTACAAGATTGTCTCCGGATATATCTTTATCCGGGTTACACGCATAATGCAGTACATACATACAATTAG